ATAATGAAAATGATCATTTCTGGATCATATGAAATGTGAGTATTTAATATGTTCTTCTCTTTCCTAACTTCTATGTATCTAAAATTTAGCAACAATAACCACTTCATAGTTAATTTTGATGCCCACTCCAAGTTAATTACTTTTACTTTGAGGACCCAACTTTAATACGCTAAGTCTTACGCACTAGTATTAAAAAGTTTTCTGAAAGTTCTGGGGTATATTTTGCAGACTTCAAAACTTATAATTCACTGTTTAAAACAATGAGCAAGAAAGAGCAAAGAGGTAGTCATGATGGACTAAAGCAGCCATGGACAACCAGAGGACTGGTAAAGGCCACAGAGTTGGGTCAGTTTCTGGTGGAGGCCCCCACTTCTCTCAACCACAAGTCTTGCTACCTCCCATTTGACCTCCCTCTTATTAACTATCCTCCAAAAAACAGCTAGAGAGATCTTTCCAAAGTACACACTGGAACAACATTGGGTTACTCCCCAAAGGACCAGTGAAGCCCCCTCCTCAGGGGGATGATGCAGGCCTCTCTATGGGGATCCCCCAGCCCACCTCCATGTGCTCTTCATGGTGCCCCAAACCCCTCACCTCTGTGGGAATCTTCTGCCTTTACTCTATGCTTGGATCTAAGGACATCTCCTCCACGAGGCATTCCGCAATTCTCTCAGAATTAATCATTGCTTCCTCTGGAAGCCTCTGCATCACCCTGTTTAATTTCTCCTGCAGAGCACCTAGCTATGGACAGTCTACCAGAGAACCAAGAGAAAGGGTTAGTGTCCCCTCAAAACACAGGCTGTGCATGTTCAACTCTCTATGCCTGATATTTATGAGGGCCTAGAATACACTGGGTTCCCATGAAATGTTTGTGGGCCGCAGTCATCATGTCTGTACTTTTAAAGTTCAAATCTATGAGAAAGTCTTACACATTTACGACAGTAATTTTTCTTTTGCTAAAATTAAAATGAAAGTCCACACGTTGGGGGTGAAACTGGCCTGCAAACAAGCACTCTGAGAACCACTGCAGTTAGCAGTGCAGAGCTGACCTTTGGAACGTATTCTAACAGATTTTTAAGAGTTTGCAGCTAGGATGACTCATCTGTGGGCGTGACAGAAGATTGACCACTATCTCTAGGAGGCTTTTCTTCAGGGGAAAGCAGAGAGCAGTCCACAGAACTTAGAGCATGAGCTTCAGTGGGTCTGGCCAGTGGGACTGTCCAGAGGCTGATAGGCACAGCATGAGAGTCGACTCCTTCTCCTTCTGCCTAAACTAGGGTGGTTTCTCAAACTCTATTCCATAGAACAGCCAAAGAGGACATGGCTACAAATGTGAGAGAGTGAGCTTCAATTAGAACAGTTTTTACTCATTCATAGACTGAAGGTTTTAGTAGAATTTCAATTTGAAAAATGAGTTCTGCTGCCTTTCAAAAAGAATGGCAAACCAGTAGCCTCAGGGATTGTGCCACATTCTTCCCTGGGAAGTAAAGAGAGGCTTGGAAGTAAGAAGATTCACAAGGAAGCTGCACAAGCCCCTGGGCCCAGGTGTGGACACAGAACTTTTCAAATTCTGTGGGAGGACAGGGAAATGTGAGCATGGCTTTGGTCTCCTCAGGAGAACCACAGACCTGTCTGCCCCTCTGATTTCTGAACATGTGGAACAGCGATAATCAGCCTAGTGGAGCAAGTGTCACCAAGGACAGACCCTGGGATGGAGAGTCATCAGTCACCTTTTCCAGGAAAACTCCAATATCTTCTTCTGCAAAGTACAGCATGTCATGTAATCTTGAGTACTTCTGCCACCCCAAACTTCTTGCCCAGAAGTTACCCTTGTTGCCTTCGGGGATGACTTCATGTTCGTGTTTTGAGTTTATTTCTTTAGTTAGCATGGGAGGCCAAGAAGACTATGGCTCTCAGTCCCAAGATGAACTCCAAGAGTCTCCTCCCATCTCCTCACCAGAACCCAGCCGAGTGCAGATGGGGCAGTGAGCTCAACCTCTCCAAGAATCAACAGACTGGAGGCTCATCCTTGCACCATTTAATCAGGACGATGAAGGATGAAAAATGTCCACGGAAGGCAGGAGCAATATTACCATCAAGCAGGTAAAAGCCACCACTCTCCTACAACTGTTACAACATCCTCTGAGTTGGTGACACAGTGGTTCTCCAGCCAGGACCATCCCCTAAATTACTGATGATCACTATGGAGTCAGTCCCAAATGAAGTCCAAATTCTGGCCAACTGCTCAAAGGGAAAATATGGGCTCCCAGTGGCGAGCTGGTAGCAAGTTTGTACACTCAGCTCCAAGGAGCATGGGGAGAACCCGTGATCTAAAGTGTGTTGGTATGGCGCCTTCTGCTTGAGAACATCTTCCCATCTCCACTAGATGAAAGCCCATGGCAAAGGAAAGTAGTTTAGAATTCAGGAGGATTTGAATTCAGACTCTGCCTTAGCCCCTTACGAGCTGGGTGACCGAGTCTTACATTGTAGTGAGCTCAAATGAGAGAGCATGTAAGAAGTTCTGCACCAAAATAAAACTGCTGTCTTTTAATTCCCAAACTCAGAAGCACATCCTTTGTGAGCTCATCCCTAAGATTCCCTGCACGTTTCATTGTGGCTCTTTATGCTAACCCCAGTGTGCCCTAGGTTTCACATTCCCATTCACATGGCCAGCACTGTAGAGGGAGTTGGCTGCTGACTTCCCATCAGGACGAGCTCTATGCCCGGAACCCTCAACCCGTATTAGCTGATGGAAAAACAAAAAACTCCAGTTCCAAGAATAATGTGGTAGGGAAGAAGGAAAGGATCTAAAAGAAGACAGAGGTAGTTTGGGAGCTTACATGCTGTATCAGTTGCTTTTCTGTAGCCTGCTTCTACCTCCTCTTTGTGTCTGCCCCAAAGAGCGGGATAGTGCGGAAAGTGTGGGGAAAGTTTTCTTCTCTTTCTTTTATTGGGTCATTAGAGCTGTACATAATGGGGTGATTCATTGTTACATATTCATACACGCACACAAGACAATTTAATTTGGCCAATATCATGCCCCAGTAGTTCCCCCCTCTCCCTCTCTTCCTCTCTCCCCCTGGTCCCTTTGCTCCACTGAACTCCCTTTTATTTTCATGAGACACTACCCCCCATCCTTTTTTTCTTTTTTTCTTCTCTAGCTTCCAGAGATGAGAAAAAAACATAACCCTTGACAGAAAGTTTGTCAGGTTTTTGTTTGTTTGTTTGTTTGTTTGTTTTAAAGGAATAATTAACAGTACCCAACATCTCACATTCCCATTTGCACAGCCAATTCTGTGCTAGGGTATTGGTTACTAATTGCCCACCAAGATGAGCACCATGCCTGAACTCTCAAGCAGGATTTACACCAATTTCTGCCTGTATGTACATGTATAGAGCAATTGCAAAATTGTTTTCATGGAATAAAATTCATAAAGTCATCAAACAATTTCCCTGCATCTCACGGCGATTTCTTATGAACAGAAGAGCATCGTTCATCTCTTAACAGGGCTTCCACAGCCTAAGGCTGTGTGCTCCTGTGAGTCAAGAGGAAACACACAGTACAGAAGCAATGCATGACCATCTCAGATGAAAACACAAAATTGGTATCTGTAAACTTCTTTGTACATCATTAATTCATTAGCTCAGAGAAACTAGAAACAGAGTCAGAACGTGAGCAAATACTGGGGTAGTTACATCCACATAGAAAGTACCGCACCTTTGGTTAAAAAGCAGAATCTATGAAGTTATCTTAGTTTTTCAACTGCTCAGCCAGTGCAGCTCCAAGCCAGCCACCATCAGCCACACGTGCAAGCGAGCCAGCATGCTGCCCACTGCAGAGGGCACACCAAATGCTCTTCCTAGCTCTAGTCCTCTGCCACAGCCAGCCTCGCCTGCATTAAAAAAGTTGGAGGACTTGGGGAGAGGCCCAGTGCTCATCAGTGGGCTGTGAGATGACACTGTTTTTCAGTGTGGAACAAAACCACAAATTTAATTAATGTATGGAGGGAGGGAAAAGCAATGATGTGCTCTAAAAATTATTTTTTACTCTAAACTATAATCCCTTCATGTGAAGTGTAAGTCCTTTGCATTTCTAAAACGCATTAGAGAAAAACAAAGGTCATGCAAGTTTTATTGCGAATTTTAGAAGGGGAAAAGTAGGGAGGGTTTTTTTATTTCATAATTGTCCATGCCTTCATTTTTGCTATGAAATGTGTTTTAAGAAACTGGAAAATGAGGCATGGGTAAAAAATTTTAACTGGTACTGCAAACATGAGTTTGATCAAGAGCTTTTCCATGCCAAAGATCCATCTTTTTTTGCTTAAGGCCACACTTTAAATTTCCTTTTAATAAGAGAGCCATTCACTTTTAAAAGAACATTAAGCAATGTGGAAGAAATCTGGCTAAAAATACTCTATGTTGCAAGAGACATACATGAAGAAGATGTATTTTTATAAGTATTCTCAAAAATGCATCAGAAGTACAAATAAAAATAATTTCTAAATATTTCTGACAAGTAATTTTGTTACTTGTTAGAAATTTTCACTTTGGAAATCAATTTTTTAAAAATAACATCTCCATCAACTCTGCATCTCTGGACCAACTTCTTGTTTTTAAAGCTCTCCTAGCCAAGGGCTGCTTGGTGGACATTCAAAGGCGTTTAAAAAAAAAAAATTGTCTTTCTGTGCTGAAAAGTTATCAAGGCCAGCTCTCTGCTGCATTTGCATTGTTATTAGGAAAACACACACACACACACACACACACACACACACACACACACACACACTCACTCTCTCTCTCTTTTTCTCTCACTCGCACATTGAGTTTAATGTGAGGCTAGTACAGAAACAGAGAGATTAGACACAAAGAAATGTAAACAGCTCTCACATGCGAGGAAACTAGGTTACCAGAATCCCAGCACCAGGCATTCACCAGTCACCATGGAAAACAGGAAGTGAGATGCATAGCAACCACAAGCCAAAAAGCAGAAAAGCGCATACCTTTAGCTTGGAATGAAAATCACGAGATTTCCTTCTGGCAAGAACCTGAATGTGACTAGACACCTGCAGGGTAGGGGAAGGGAGGAAAACAAAGGAAAAGCCTGTAACCATGGAGATGAAAAGCCCCCTACAACTGGGCAAGCCAGACGTACCTTAATGGCGGCTTGAATTTCTCGAACTTTCTTTCTTGCTAAGACCTGTATATGACTAGACACCTACATTGTTCGGGTTTATGAGGGGAAACAAAAAAAACAAAACAAAACAAAACAAAAAAAGGAAATCAAAGATAAAATCGCTACTCCTCGGGAGGGGTGTGGGGAGGGGGGGGAGGTTATTTGCATCTCAACAAAGCTCCGCAGTTAGGAATACACAGTCCCAGCCAGACACCAAGCCCCCAGCACTGCTCTAAGCTTTTCAGACTGGGTCATCACTGCAGTGACTTGATTCAGGACCAAAGTTGAGGCTCATCTCTGTTTTTCTACCCGGGAAAAATCACGGGCATTGGGAAAAACTTATTATGGGAGGGATGAGAGGGGGAGAGTAGGATTGCTTTCTTTATAAAATTAAAAAAAAAAAAAGGTGGGAGTAGTGGTAAATGAAAATATTTATAGCTTCTCAGCATCAGTAGGGAAAATCCCTTTTTCTCGATTTAGAGGAGACGATCCATAAATTAGCACATAGTACAGAATCAAAAAGCTGAAGCTGTCGGTTGTATTCTGATCTCATTAAGAGCTCTGGATTCTGTAGCAAATGTTAAAATAATACTGACATGTAAATTAGATTTCAAAGAGAAATGGAAAGACCCAGTTAGCAGAGCTTTTTTTTTTCTTTTCCTTTTTTTTCTTTGCCCTTATAAATATCTTTAATCCTTCCACTCTTTTGGGTATTGACTGGGTGCCAAGTGGATTTGCATATTATTACAAAGCGAAATGTGTGAATACAGCCAGCCAGCCAGCCATCCTGTTAAAAATCTGGGTTGAAAACCACACGGATTTGCTGAACAACAAATTCACATTGGAGAGGTATCACCAACTGCTGCCTAAAAACATCCCCAGGATGCCGGGGTGTGGAACCGTAGCCAAATCCAGCTTCTGAAACACAATGATTCCACTGGGTAAACAAATTTGCATCTCTTTCAATGAGACTTGGTTAAATTTAGAAGAGGCCCCCAGTGAAGGGGGTCACCAGGCAAAGGACCAGAGCTCACCGGCCAGCAGACAGCCCAGGTCCAGCATTTTCAACAGGTAAGGGATTAGCTTTGCCCATCTCCAAAATTCAGAACCTTCCATTTAGGAATTTAGGGGCTCAGACTTTAGGGCGATTAACTCATTTCAAACTCTAGTGACTCTAAAAACAGAATTTATGGTAATAAAAGATCCTTTGATCTTTAAATGTCTTTGCATTTCAATTATTCAATTTTCTTTTGTACTTTTTTTTTTTTTAAGCACAGAGAAGCAGGGACTCCCCCATCCTTTTCACCCCTCCATCTGGCTCCTGCTGTTATTTGTTTTCACCCGAATTTTGTTCCTCTGTGATTCTCTGAATTGATGAGGGCCACCGTGGGGGGACATCCCCCAAGCAGACAATGCCCTGCCTCTGTGCTGGCAGGCAGCCACCCCCTTGTGCTGAGTCAGCACAAGCCCTGGGGGTACACGGAGCATTCCCAGGAAAAGGCCTCAGCCCCTCACCAACACTCACAAAACCCCTCATTGGGAAGGGAACCGGCTGTTGCTTGGTGGTAATGTGAGACCACAGGTTAGCTTGTATTTTTTGTTTGATTATTATTATTTTTTTTAAAGACGGGATTCAAGTTGCCCAGGTTGGCTACAAACTTACGATCCTCCCATCTCAGCCTCCCAAGTTGCTGGGATTACAGGCGTGCGCCACCACACCTGGCAAACTACATTTTATAAAGTTGTGCCATATCATTCAGCATAGGTCAACACTTGAAAAAACAATTTTTTTGTTGTTGTTGTTAATAACTCACCCATGAGATGTTTTTTCTGTTTTCCTTTCTCTCTTTCTGTTTTCAGTTAAACACTAACTAACTAACTTCCCATCCATTTCCAGTTCTGAACTGGGTCACATCAGTGATTTGGGCTGCTTTACATCTGAAAGGGCCAGGGAAGGCAGAGCCCTGGCAAAGGGCAGAGGAGAATCCCTGCCCCTGCCCTGCACAGAGGTATTTAAGTTGTAACTTCATTTCAGTCACGGCAGCTACTGACAAAAAGCCATTGCTTAAGCGACAGTGCCCTGGATGCACATCATTCAGTATCACGCTTGGGCCGATACTCAAGGCTGCCAGCGTTATTTTTGCATTGAAAGGATGACTAATATGTAATTGCTCCAGGATATTACAGTGCACAAAATCTCAAAATTGCATGACTTGCAGGTGTAGTTACACCTGCAGCTTTTGCAATGTTGACAGATACATGTTTTGGGAAAGAAATGCCAGCTTTGAAATACAGCATAGGGACAGCGGAGACACTGTCCTTCGCACAGAAACTTTCCCACATCAAATGAAAAGAACTTGAGAGACCACATACTCAAGGGTCACTGAAATGATGAACAGTGAAAACAGCCAATTTGAAACACCTACAATGCTGATGTCCTTACAGGGAACTGGGACTGGGGCTCCTAGGAGCCAAAGCACAGCAGCCACTGCAGCCAGATGCCTCCTGGGGCCATTCGCGGACATGCACAACTCCCAGGGTGGTTACTGTACCTGCTTTCTGGTCCTCGTCTTCCCTGTCCTGAGTTTGATGTATCTGGCTATCAGTTCATTCCTACCTGAAAGAAAGAAGCATTTCCAGTGAGGTGGGTCACATATTAACACACATGCATGCCCCTAAAAGCCAGAAATCAGCATCAAGAATTTTTAAATTACACCTAGGAGTTTATTCATGATAGAAAGAAGAAAAAAAAAAATCAGTATGGGCTGGGGCTCAGGCTCAGTGGCAGAGTTCTTGCCTGGCACACGTGAGGCACTGGGTTCGATCCACATACAAAATTAAGCAAATAAAATAAAAGTCATGCTGCCCATCTACAACTACAATTTTTTTTTTCAGTAGGATTCTTTGAAAAAATATCTACTAGGGGAAATAAAGAGAAAGGGCACTTAATTTTAAACTTTTGCTCTGTTGAGGCCAGAAATGGATCTTTGTAAACTGTGCCTTTTTGTTTGCATCTAAATGGGTAGTCACATCTAAATGGGTAGTAACAAATATAAAGGATTAGTCTAGAAGTAAACAAATCCAGTTCTGTTTTAGTCTTTTATTTTTCAGGTTCATCTTCCTCCTCATCCCTCATCAGGGCTCCTCCCTGTAGATACGTCCAGTTAAAGTCATTATTGCCACAAGAGAATGAATCCCTGTGGCCACAGAAGCCCTACAGTGACAAGAAGCTGAGCAGAGTGAAAGCAGTAACTAATGGCACACGATTGTGCCAGTGGAAACCCGACAAACTCCAAGCTTTAGAACCTTTATGGGTTTAAAACACACACGCATACACACACACACCCCTACCTAAAAGTAAACAAAAACCTGCCATCTCTACCAGACCAGGAGGCTGAGAAGTTACATACAGAGAGCTTAACTTGGAAGAAGTATAATAGGAAAATACATCCCCAGAGGCTAAGCAGAGAAATGTATTTACTAAGATCCCATGTGAAATAAAAGTCCACTCTGCAAGATGTGGGGCCTTCAAGAGGGTCCAATTTATGACTTCAACTTTTGCACTAGGAACTGAAAATATTTTTACATACTCTGTGCAATAAATGGAAAACTCTCACTTCACAGCACTGCTTTTGGCTGCCTGTAAACTATTTCGTCCCACTGTCCCAGATGTTGTGGAACACCTATAAAACTTAAATATATGTAGTATAATATGTAATATAATTATATAATAACATAATTATAGTATAATAGGATTGCTATAATATAGTAATATTAATATTATATAAGCTCTGGATTATTATTTCCAAACTATTTTAATGGACCTGGGTCAATTTCCTTGGAATCCTCACAAAACTGAAAACAGAGGTCTTGATGGACTAATCAATTCCATCCTAATGAGAACTCCTTTGGGCTGCAGCATTCCTTCACATGCTTATTGCCTGCCAGGGGACTGTCAAGCTGGAGTCCAGTTCTCCTTCCAGGTCCACCCCTCAGGAAGTCTTGAACCACCCAAGTGGGTTTGGCTTTCTTGCTCTACCTGCAATCCACGGCAGCACAACCTGCCTTTCTCCCTCCTGACATGTTCCACTCTGTGGCTACAGTCCGAATGGCAGAGCTGGCTATGTCATTTGTGTTCTAACTTCCCAGCTATACTGCACACCCCAATAGGGCAAGAACTGTGTCTTGCTCCCCAGGATCCCCCTTGTACCCTGCAAGTACACAAAGACTGAAAAGGGAAATAACACAGCCTTATGAAGGAGTAACCATGTCCCCAGATCTCCCCAGCAGAGTCAACAAAGGAGGACACGGATGAGGATCACCATGACAGTATGCACATGGACGTTGTGTCTGAGATTCCAATCTCCAACACTGCCCAGAATGTCCTGTAATCATGGCACTCCCTGCCCACCTCCTGTCCATGTTAGGATTGTGCAGGACATGGTCACCATCAGAAGGCAAATAAATCATGGATTCTTGGAGGTAGAAAATGAGTCATATACTCCCACCCTGAAATTCCAAATCTGCATAAGCCAAAGTCAGCACTTCTGTGAATTGAAGAAGTATCTTGAAATATGTTTAAGAATAAAATGATCTTATTTATTTGGGCTTCCTGTAACTTTCATCCTCAAGTCCTTCTTATTCCTTGGAACAAGAATAAGGCTAGTCCTTCATGTGCCCAGCTGCCTTTTGAATATCAATCACTGCTCAATTCCTCCTGGAGCTACACACATGCTAAACTTCTATTCCTTTGATAACTGTGAAAGGCTTTGGGACATTCCCAGATACCATCCCGTGATCATCTCTCGTCTACTTTCCTTTCAGAGCCTGGAATTCAGGACTGCCATAATAATCCTGCTATGACAGCAAAGTACGCTTATTACCTTCTCTTCCTAAAACATTCTACCTCTGTAAATGCAGCCTAACACTGTGTTAGATTTTTAAGGATCATGATAAACTTGGGACTTCTAAGTCCTGTTCATATGGGCTACTCCTCAGATACCTCCCTACCATTGCTCCCAGTCTTTTTATACATAGCTGGTATTTTTCAGAGCCAAATGCAAAACCTTACGTTTATTTCTACTACATTTCATCCTGTTAAATTCAGTCTATCATTTCAGCCTGTCAAAATCTTCTCAGGTCTCATTCTGTAACTAAATGTACCCTTTAAGGGTAAAGACCTCCAAAATTCAGTTTCCAGGATTGCTTTGATAAGCACTCTCTTTCTGACTTTTGAGAACTACCAATATCTCCTGTAGTGTCATTAGGTCTACTTGTCCATCTCTCAAATGGCTGTACAGATTTTGCAATTTGTCTCAAAGGCTCACTGACAGCAAAGCCTAGCTAGGAGTGCCTAATTACCAGAAGCCAGACCTAGAAGACAATGTCTGCAGACAAGCCAAGCATCCTCCAGCTCAGGCTGCACTGTGCTCCCTGTTCAGGGCTGTCTGAGTGGCCAAGAGGAAATAAATCCAGGGCTCTGTATGACATGCAATTTCATCTGAACCTTATCCAGACTGGGGGCCGGGGGTAGGGGATTGGGGGGGAGGTCTCCTGCCCCAAATTTGTTTATTTTCTGTGAATGCAGACAGGAAATGCTTAATAGAAGAGACATATACCCTATACAACTATTCTCATTTTTTAATGGCATTTTGTTGAATAAGATCAATATCATGGATAGCCAGGTATAGCCTGTAGACTATGCTAATGGAACCTTCTGGAGTTAGACTAAGATCATACTTTAATCACACTTTAACTAAATCACTTGTAAAAAAAAAAAAAAACACTATTTCTAGGGCTGGGGATATAGCTCAGTTGGTTGAGTGCTTGCCTTGCATGCAAGAGGTCCTGGGTTCAATCTCCAGCACACACACCCCTCCCCGCCCCAAAAAAGTACACTATTTCTACAACGGGCCCTGAGTAGTCAATGAAGCCACATTTTCTTGAAAGCTCATCTCAACTCTCATAAGCCTGTTCTTTAGATGAGCAAGACCACCCTTCAATCGCTTGTGTTCTTTCTTTCATACTATTCATGCCTTGAAATGTGGTAATTATTTTAAATATTAGAATTGCCTGTTTTAACTAAGAAAGCCCATTCTTGACTCATAGAAACCTAATACATTTTCTCTAATGCTCTAATATTGCTTTTAAAAAACTAATAAGATTTCAACTCTCGTAATCTAAATTAATAACTTCATTGAGCATTTTAATTTGGAAGTACAAGTTAGCCTGTTATCAAGATCAAATTATTTTAAATAATTTCTTAAAGTAGCAAATATACAAAATCCTTTAAATAAAAGCTATCAATGGTATGGCTTTGAGTCTATTAAAATTTGCTGGGTCTAATTCTAAATCTTCCCAGAATTAAGATATACTTACATATTAGAGAAACAAGTGTAGTGTTCCAAACAATTTTAGAATATCTTTTTCATTGCTTAGATTGCCCATATATTAGCAATATCAATTAAGTTATGATTGGACACCCTGAGACCTATTTGCGTTTCTACAGTCCTGCTCTCTAAATGCAGTGGTCTATATAGCCCTGAATTTGAATCATGTTACTAAGGTGCAGAATTCCCTGACCAAGAGCAGAGGCTCAGCAACACCAACCATCACCGAAGTAACTGGGGAGGGGTCTCTAGCCTGCACAGCATGATCTTGGTTTGCAGCCACAATTCCAATTTTAGATGTTAGAAATTTTAACCCTTACTTCTGCAATTCTTCTTGTGCATGCACACATGAACATGTGTGTGAGCACTCTCTCTCTCTCTCTCTCTCATACACAAGCATATACATGCTTAATCCAGGAAGCCTTACAAAGAGTTTCTGGAACATGCCTGGATAACAGATCACAAGCAATTTCAAAAATCTAGAAAGGCTTCCCCACAGTACTGGAACATAACCCAGGCCCTTAACAACAGGTTACATTTCCTCCCACATTTTATCATGAAATATTTTAGACATACAGAAAAAAATGTACACTAAACACTATATTCCCCATCTAGCTTCTACCACAGGTTGAATATCCCTCATCTGAAATGCTGGGAACTGAAAGTATTTTGAATTTGGGGTTTATTTTGGAAAAAGTACATATCCATAACGAGTATCTTGAGGACAGGACATGTGTCTAAACATGAATTTCATCTATGTTTCACATACACACCTTAAACAGCCTGAAGGTAATTTTATACATTATTTTTAGTGCACCTGTGTTTTATCTACAACCTGTTGTATGAGATCCGATGTGGAATTTCCCACTTAAGGTATCAGTTGGCACTCACAATTTATTTTTGATTTTGGAGCATTTCAAATATCTGGCTTGAGGGTGTTCAACCTATATTCACTTTTTCTATTCTTGCTCTGTCACCTTTCCTCCCATCTGTCCAATCCTCTGCTCAAGCCATCTTATTTAGATGTTGTTTGCTGCATTTCAAAATAAGTTGCCAGCATGGTAAACAACAACAACAAGAACAACTATGGTCTCCTGACACTCAAGCTCCTTAGCCCACCACCCACAATTTCTCCAGGTCAATCATGACATCCACAGTATTTCTAGTTCATATCCTTCGTTACCTCTCTGCAAATAGTATAATCCCTTATAGAGCTGAGTGACCATGT